AGGAGAGGAGAGGAGAGGAGAGGAGAGGAGAGGGAGGAAGGAGGAGGAGGAGGAGAACAGAGAGAAGCAGGTGCATGGATGATAGATAGATAGATAGATAGATGATAGATAATGAATGATGTTAGATGATAGAGAGGTAATAGATGGACAGATAGATATTGTTAGGTACAATTGAGTCAGGTATGACTCATAGCCACTGAATGAACAACATATTTGAACTCTGTCCTGTCCTGTACCATCTTCCTGACCTCTAACACACTTAAGCCCATTGCTGTGGTCAATATCAATCCTTCTCATTGAGAGTCTTCCCCTCTTGTGCTGACCCGGTACCTTTCCAAGCATGATGCCCCTTCCCAAGGAACAGCCTCTTCCAACAACATGCCCAGAGTACGTGAGTCGACACTTCAAGGATCATTCAGGCTGCAATTTTTCCGAAACATATGTTTGTTCTTTCGGCAGTCCGTGGGCTATTTGTACTCTTCTCCCACACAACAATTCAAAGGCATCAATTCTTTATCTGTAGTCACTATTCATCTTCAAGCTCTCAGATACAGAGCAAGTGATGGAAAAGACCATGGCCTGAATCAGACACACCTTGGTCATTAAACTAACATCATTACTCCTCAATACTTTGAAGAGGTCCCTGACTGCGAACTTGCCTGATTCAAAACATGTCCTGATCTCCTGACTGTTGGTACCAAGTGTGTTGGTTGTGGATCCAAATTAGATGAGATTGTTGACAATTTTAGGTCTGGGGCTTCCAGATGCTCTAGGCAGGGTCTAGAGGGGGTTGACAAGGGCTTGCCCTCCAGAAAGATAATGTCATTACCCTCGAGCTTCTCGGGGGATTAGGGGGGAGTGCATTACTCTTTAATGATCTCTTTAAAGTTCTAAAGAGCAAAAAGGTCAGTTTAAAAACTGAGGTGCGTCTTACCCAAGCTGTAGTATTTCCAATTGTTTCGTATGCATATGAAAGTTAGGTAAGGAAGACTGAAGTTAGTGACTTCGAATTGTAGTGTTAGTGAAGAGTATTGAATATCTCACCTGTTTGGAAAGCAGACAGAAAAAAATCAGGTGCTCCTTAGAGGCAAGGCTGATGAAACTTTATCTGGCGTACTTTGGATATGTTGTTAGGAGATACTGATCCTTGGAAAAAGACAACATTCTTGGCAAGATAGAGGGTCAGCAAAGGAGAGAAAGACCCTCAACAAGATAGAATGACACAGTGATTGCAACAGTGGGCTTGAGCACGGCAGAGACTGTGAGGATGGTGCAGGAGAGGGCTTGCTTTCCATCTCTTGCTCGTAGGGTTGCTATCAGTCAGAGTCACCTCAGCAGCATCTAACAACAGCAGCAACATGATCCTAGACAAAGAAAATCCCCAATACTCTAGCAAGAAACTTGCTAGGGCTAATTGACCAATTCATCAAAGTGGCAGTGTATAAAATCAACATACAAAAATGAGTTAACCAGCAGACGATAAATCCTGGCAAACGTGTAAAGAGATTAGAACTCTTATTCACTGCTGGTGGGAATGTAAAATGGTACAGCCACTAGAGAAGGTGGTCTGGTGCTTTCTCAAAAAGTTGGAAATAGAAATACCATTTGACACAGCAATTCCACTACTGAGAATATACCCTAAAGAAACCAGAGCCACCACTCAAACAAATGTATGCACACCCATGTTTATTGCTGAATTATTCACAATAGCAAAGACTTTGAAGCAACACAGATGTCCATCAACAAATGAATGGATGGAAACAATGGTATACCTTCATGCAATGAAGTATTATGCAGCATTAAAAAACAATGAATTCATAAAACATTACACAACATGGGGGAGCCTGGAGGATATTATGCTGAGTGAAATATCTCAGTCACAAAAGGACAAACACTGCATAATATCACTTTTATAAAATAGGACAGACATGGGAGGGAGGTTGGGGAGAGAATGGAAAAAGAATGGAAAGATAATGAATACTGCATTAGATCAGATGAGGGGAAGAATTGTCCAAAAGGAACATATGATTAGGCATTATAAGTATGACAATAATCTTGAACAAAGGGTGCATTGCCGAAGGGAGAGGAGAGGAAAATGTACAAAAATGGAAAAAGATTTAAATAAAACATTCTCAAGGTGGGGTGGGGGGGTGTGGGTGTGGGTGTGTGTTTATTGAGTAGGATCCCACTACACTACCAAAGGGAACTCTGAAAAGGAAATAAGGAACATGATGCCATTTACAATCGCCACCAAAAAGATGAATTATTTAGAAAGAAATGTAACTAGAGATATAAAAGACCTATAGAAAGAAAATGGCAAAATACTATAAAAAGAAACCAAAAGAGGTCTACATAAATAGAATATACCATGCTCATAGATTAGAAGATTTAACATTGTAAATGCATCAAGACTACCAAAAGCTATCTACAGATATGATGCAATCACAACCCAGATTCTGTCACAATTCTTCACAATGATGGAAAAAATAATTGTCAAGTTTATATGGAAAGGCAAGAGATCCTGGTTAAGCAAGGAGCTACTCAAGAAAAAACTAGAAATAATAAGACGACTTATACTTCATGATCTCAAAACCTAGTACTCAACTAGACCAATGAAGAATACTGGTCTATGTTGTTCTACATAACAGACTAATAAAAATGGAGAATATTCTACACTGACTGTATAGAATATTGGTCTACAAAGTCTGGAAATCAAAACAGCTTGGTAAGAATTAAAAAAAATAAAAATAACAGCTTGGTACTGGTACCACAACAGATAGGATATTGGTCATCATATTGGTCTATGAGTAGAATTGAGAATCCAGATAAAAAGATCCATGTGCCTATGGACAACTGATCTTTGACAAAGAGGTAAAATCCATCAAGCGGGAGAAAGACAGTCTCTTCTTCTTGCCACTAGGCCAGTAGAGCTGCCTTAAGCAAATAATAATAAATCATTACTGTATTACTGGAACCAACTCTGAGCTGGTCCTCCAGTGGGTTTTCACAGACTTTAAATTGCTTAAGAGGAGATTGTCTATCTTTCTCCCACAGAATGACTAACCCAAACTGCCAGAAAAGGCAACACCTTTGGGCCACCAGAGCTCCCTTTTAACAGATGGTGCTGGCAACCTGGTTTCTCCAGAAAATTAAAACAAGATCCATGCCTCACACCATATACAAAAACTCAAGATGGATGGGAAAGGGTGAGGATAGGCAAGAGGGAATTCACAGGGTCACACAATTTGGTGGGGAGAGAGAGGGAATAAAAAAAGCCAGGAAAGATCCAGTTGGGATCTAAAAACAAGGTAATGGTGGGCATAGTTCAATGGTGATTAATTTTACAAAACACAATGAACGGGAATGATTGTATGAAACACAATGTACATGAAAGACAGTATGAAACAAAACAACCATATAAAAAAAGATGAAGGATCCAGGTATAAAACCGGAAACAATAAATTTTATTAAAAAGAGAAAAATTGGAGCCGATTTAGAAGGTTGGTTTATGGCACAGGTAGTTCTGGTAGTGTAGTCTGTAGCCAGTTGCACTGATAATTCAAAGGCTGTACAGCTCTCGTGGTGGGAATTCACTGATGGATCTGCAGGAGATAGTCAGTCGCCTCTCATTGTGATTTAGACTTTGGAAAGCCAATGGAGGATCACTGTTAGTCAGAACAGACTCAATGGTGTGAGTGAGTGAATCTAGGGCATTAATAGACCATCAAATATAACCCGAAAATGCACAACCAGTAGCAGACTATTGGGACTTCCTAAAAATAAATCCCTGCAATCCCAGAGGTGTGCAGTTCGAATCCACCAGATGCTGTGCTGGAGAAGGAGGGACAATCTCCTCCTGTACTAGTCAGATCTGGTTTGATGGTACACACATAAAAAATAATCAAATAAAATTTAAAAAAAGAACAACAAAACTAAATCCTTGTGAGCACCAAAAGACTTCTCCAAAAGAGTAATAAGAGAACCTACAGTGTTGTTGTTATTGTTAAGTGCCATCGAGTCGTAGAGGACTCATAGCAACCCTATGAATGCAAGATCTGAACGCTTGTTTTAATCGGGGAGCTCCACCACACACTGTCCACTATGGGTAACCAGTTTCGCATTTGACACATCAGTGTCACAGTGTTTAACATCACAGCAACCACGAGTTACCTCTATACAGCAGATGGACAGACCACTAGGAGGGGACAAATATTTGGCAATGACATATATCTGATAAGAGGCCCACCTCTGAAATGTATACAAAATTCTAACACCTCAACAAGAAAAAGACTGACAACCCAATTGCACAATGGGCAAAGGATATAAAAAGACTCTTCACCAGAGAAGACATTCAGATGGCCACGGAACACATGAAGAAATACTCAAGATGATGAGCTCTTAGAGAGATTCAGGACCTGGAAGCAATTCTATACACTGTATGTATGCAGTGGGGTCACCATGAGCTGAGATTAATGCCACAGCAGCAAACAGCAATAGCTTAGAGGGAAGGTGGAAACAAAGCCCTCATCAATTTACATTCAACATTGTTGTTGTTATGTGCTGACGAGGTGTTTGTGACTCATAGCAACCCTATGTATAACACCCCTGAAACCTGCTCTATCTTGTGCCAACCATATTGTCTCTGCCACACTTACCCTCATCACTCCAGTCACTGAGTCAATCCATCTCATCAAGGGTCTTCCTCTCTTGAGCTGTCTGTCCCTCCACCCTTCCAAGCATGATGTCCCTCTCCAAGGACTGGTCTCTTCTTGCAACATGCCGAAAGTATGTCAGACGAAGCCTCAGAACCCTTGCCTCCAAGGAGCATCCTGGTTTCACCCTCTCTAAGATGAACCTGTTTGTTCTCCTGGCAGTCCATGGTATATTCAATACTCTTCTCCAGCATCACAGCTTAAAGGCACCAATTCTACTATCCCTAGCTTTCTGACTCATAACACGTAATTGTGAAGACTATCGCCTAGATCAGGCACACCTTAATCTCTAGACATTCAACATAGAAGTCTCTTAAACCTCAGTTATGGAACTTTCACTTGCAAACCTCCAGTGATGACAAGGTCATTATCTGGAAAGAAAGCCCCATCTCATGAAGCATAAATTCTCTACCCCAGAACAGCCTTTCAGCCATGGTCAGGGACTCTAAAACTGAGCTTAGGAATCAGATAAGCCTGGGTTTGGATGTAGGCACTCACCTTTACTGGCAGCTGTGTGACACAGCAGTTTGACCCAGCAGAGATTGACTACCATGGACTCAAAAATCTCTAAATACTATTAGGGGTCTTTAGTCCCAACTCCCTGTGAGAATGGTCTACAACGGACGTCATTTCCCCCTTTGCACACCCTCTGTTAGAGGTCCCTGCGTGGTGCAGACAATGGTTGAAAGGTTGGTGGTTGTAGCGGGAGTGAGAGTGGGTGCGTTGACAATCAGGATACCTCAGGAAGGGTATTCCAAGCAGAGGGAAAGAGAGGAGACTGGGAGAAGATGAAGCCATGGAGCTGGCCTGATCTAGCTAGCAGTCCCGCAGGGTCTCATGGGCCAGAACTGGCTGTTGTTTTTACCCCCTAGCCAGGTGGGAGCAGGAGGGGGTTCCAAGTACAGAAAGGAATTGTGTTGATTCCGGTGGTGCAGTATGCAATGGATTAGACTTCTGGTTGAAAGGTTGGCAATTCGAAACCATCAGCCTGACAGTTCCCTCCCTTAAAGATTTACAGCCTTAGAAATGTGATGATGTGGTTTTGGTTTTGCTGTTTTGTTTTGTTTTTTATCAGTGGCAAAGTTTAACAGGACAACAAGTAATAAATGTTGGAGAGGATGTGGTGAGACAAGAACTCTTTTACGCTGTTGGTGGGATTGTACAACAATACACCCACTCTGGAAGGCAGTTTGGTGCTTCCTCAAAAAGCTGAACATAGAAAGTCCATATGATCCATCTATCCCATTGCTTGGAATATATCCCAAGAAAGCTTGATGTTGGTTTTTTGTTGTTAGGTGCCAAGTCAAGTGTGACTCATGGTAGCAGCCCTTTGAACAACAGATGTGAACCTGCTGCGTTCTGTGCCATCTTCATCATCTATGATACACTTGAGCCATTGTTAGTCACTGTTACAATCCATCTTGTGGATGGTCTTCGCTGACCTATGCTTTTCCAAGCATGATGTCTTTTTCCAAAAACTGGCCCCTCCTAAAAACATGTCCAAAGTATCTGAGATGAAGTGTCATCCTCGTTGCCTCAAAGGAACACCCTGGTTGCACTTGCTCCAAGACAGATTTGTTTGGAAAGGTTCTAGAGGGTCGATATGCGTGGCAATTGGACGGCAGGGACTCCAAAATGTGCTCGACTTATGTTTGGTTTTGGCTATGTTCTCACAACCGCTCTCTGCCGACCACAGAAGAGTTAAACTGTTTATGGCGAAAAGGAAACCTGGGAGCCCAGGACCAAAGAGATTGCAGTGGTCCAGACACCTGCCTGGGCGCACTTCCTACCAGTTGAAAGTGGTCTCACCTGGAGAGAATGTGAAGGTGGAGTCCACGAGCTATGTGGTTGGTTCTATGTGGATGTGAGAGAAGAGGGAGGTTGAGGAGCCTGCAGCCGTGCGCTCAGGAATGTGAGGCAGGGCCGGTCGAGTCCTGGACAAACCTAGACATTGACATGGACATTGCAGAGAGCAGGGGGGTGGGGAGCACATCTGGAGCCTAGACTTGTTCCGGAAATACACCTGAGTGACTCGTGGTACTGTGCACCATACTTTTTCACAGCTGGTTCCTAGAAGGAGATCGCGGGCCTTTCCTCCAGAGTGGACTCAAACCTCTAACCTCTTGGTTCTCAGGTGAGTGCATGAACATAGGACTACTCCACTGAGGGACTCCTGAAGTCCGAGAATATTGCATCCATTGACGCCAGCGGCTTGGTGAGCCACCGGGGAGCTGCCTGAGTTCAGTGGTCAAGCTGGTGCCACCTCCAGAGGACCAGGAGAGGGAGGCTGCTACCACTCAGAAATGAAAAGTCTACGGAGCACAGTTCTGACACACGGGGCGGGGGTGGGGGATCCGTCATGGGTCGGAATCCGCTGGAGGGTCACCGGGTTTATTACCAGACTGCACTGGATTAAGGGCCTTGGGCAGTTGGGCCGCCTGTGCGCGCCAGGGTTTGGGCTGCGGGCTGTGAGTGTGGGCGACAGGCACAGGTCTTTGTGACCTCCCACAGTCCCCTTCCTTCATTTCCTGAGCAGAAGGAATACATGGTATTCCTCCACCTGCAGATAATCCACAAATTCCACGCGAGTCCTCACTGCCCCCCTTTCAAAATTTACATAAAGCCCAGTCACTCAGCAGTTTGTCTTCACAGACCCTCTCTCATGCTTAGATGCCACCTCTGATTGGAAGAAGGCTGCGGTGGCTTCTGCAGCCCACAGAGATCCCAAACCCACACTCACCATGGCTGAGGAAGGTTCCCCAGGAAACCTGCGCGCACCGGTTTGCTGGGCGCCCGAGAGGGGAGGGGCTGAGGACAAGAGTCCTGTTATAGCTGGATCCCCGGTGTCGCAGTCCTGAGGGCTCCCTGCCACTAACAAGCCCCCCTGGGCTCAGGCTGCCGCTCCCTGCAGAGTCTTGGCCTCCTGGGAGTTCGCGATCTGGGCGCATCTCTCCCAGCCTCCGAGGCCCTGAAGCGCAGAGCAGCGGGAGGGTTCATTAAGCCTTCTCCTTGTGGATGGTGGTCCCAAACGCCCCCCTCACTCCAGTGTTACCCAGTGCCCTCTGGGGTCCACTGAGTGTTTGCCAAGGTTGCCGCTCCACTCCACAATCATGAACACCTAATTCTTGGTCTCCAGTGACCCCTGGTCAGTCACGGGAGAAAGAAGTAGACCTCTTGCTGGGGTCCTACAAATGTTGCCTCAAAGCTGCCCTTCCTCCTCTCGACCTTCCCAATCTTCATCCTCGCCTGTCCTCCACCACCTAAGACCCAACCTACCTCGACTCCATAACTCTCAAGCAGTTTCCTCTCCCTTCAGTTCCTCCACTGTGGCCACCAGAACAGGAACAGCTTGCTATGTTCTTCCCCTACTCAAGAACCCTCCATGGCTCCCATTTCTCTCTTAAGGAAGTTCAGAGTTCCCCTGTCTTTGCAAGCAAGACTCTTGTGGATCTGACTTGGTCATCTTCTCTAGTTCTTAAACCAGCCATTGCCCATGCACAACTGAAAACCATTCATTTGTTAAATCATCAATGAGTGAGGGACTGAGGTACAGACCTAGCCACTCCAAGTTGCTGACTATACTTGAGAAATGTCCAATGCTTTTTCACACCATTTTGCCTCTCGCTATGCTACTGTCTTCTATAGAAATGTCTTTCCCTTTCTCCTATCCTACCGGCAAACATCTCTCCACTTGAACGGTCCATCGCTAGCATTACCTCCTTCTGGGAGCCCTCCCTGATTGCCTCAGGCTAGTCATGTTCTCCCATCCTGCCACTCAGCTACAGGCTTCAGCTGGGCCCAGAACTATGATATTCTTACGCTTGATTTGCTGGTAGAGGCACAACACTTACTTGTCAGTTTGTTATCTTGGAAGAATGATTTTCCTATTGCTAATCTGTATTCTTTAAAATTGTTTCTGCTACTATAAAAGTCTCCAGAATTTGTGAGTCTGCCATGAAGTTCCTGGTATTCACTCCATTAGACCTCCTGGAGGACCCTTGTATTTAAGACGAGCCCCTTGTCTTCATTTTGGATACTGGGTGATGCGGCTGGACTCTGTAAATGGGTGTTCTTGTTTTGGTTGAGGGTTCTATTGAATGCTTGGTTGTTGTGGGTTTTTTTTTATTTAAGCCTCTTGTTTAGAATCAACAAGACCTCCTGGAGGGCCCTTGTACTTAAAAGTCTGTTACATTTAAGTCATTTTATTCTATTTTGAAGGAACATTCTTCTAAGTTATACAGCACTCTTCTGTCAGTTTGCTTTACTGGGATAATCTAGGTTTGCTGTGATGCTGAACCTTGTGCCACTGTGGGGTCAAATGCCATAACAGTTACCCATGGTTGACAGTGTTTGATGGAGCTCCCAGTTTAAGACAGGTTTGGAAGTAGAAGTGGTATCCATTTCCTAAACCACATGCCTCTGGAAACTCTGTGAACCTGGAGAAATGAGGATAGTTATAGAAAGGCTTCAGGTCTTTTGTTCATAGGGTTGCTATGAGTCATACTCAACTTCAAGGCAATCAAAGACAACAACAACAATCATGTTATAGCTTAGGTATGTATATTCTGGTTTGTTTATCATTGTTCTTTTAAGTACAGCACTTGTCTGTCAGTTTGCTGTTCTGAGTAACTTGTAGGTTGCTGTGGTGCTGAAAGCTATCCCACTGGTGTGTCAAATTCCAGAAGGGTCACCCATGCTGGGCAGGTTTCAGTAGAGCTCCAGATTAAGAATGACTAGGAAGCAGGATTGCCCATCCACTTCTTCAATAGCAGGCCTCTGAGAACTCTATAAACAACAGAGGAACACAGATTATTATAAAAGGTAGATCCCAGTCTGGAAGTCAAGCAAAATGAGGAGAAACAGCTGCAAACATCCTTTAATTCTTGAAACCTAGAACGTACAAAGTATAAATGTTAAAAAAAAACCACAGAAGTTATGGAAAAATTGAAATGGAGCACATGAATATTGACGTTCAAGGCATCAGTAAAATGAGATTTATTGGCATTGGTCACTTTGAATCAGATAATCACATGGTATACTATACTGGGAATGAAAAACAGGGGAAGTATAGTGTCACAATCATAGTTCAAAAGCAATGTGGGTTATTTTAATCCGTGGCCCTCCAGCCTGGTTTTAATTGTTTTTGGCCAAACATTCTTCTAAGCAGTATAGCACTGGTCTGTCCATTTGATGTACAGAGGTAACTCATGGTTGCTGTAATGTTAAACACTGTGACACTGATGTGTCAAATGTGATAATGGTTACCCATGGTGGTCAGTGTTTGGTGGAGCTTCCCAATTAAAACAAACTTAGAAGCAGGAGTGGCATCCACTTCTGAAATAGCTTGTCTCCAAAAACTCTATGAACGTGGAAAAACGATGAAAGTTATACAAGTGTTCAGGTATTTCATTCATAGGGTCACTATGAGTCGTCTACGACTCGGCAGCACTTAACAACAACAACAACAACAACAACAACAACATGAGGTATATCATCTTACCCTAGTAACAACAGCAAAGTTTAGCAGAGCAGCAAGCAACAAATGCCAGAGAGGTTGTGGAGAGATTGGAACCCTTAGTGTGTAAAATGGTGCAATCGCTATGGAAGACAGTATGGCACTTTCTCAAAAAGCTGCAAATAAAATTTCATTTGATATAGCAATTTTAACACTAGGAATATAGCCTAAAGAAACCAGAGCTGCCACCCAAGCAGACATAAACACCCGTGTTTATTGCTGCCTTATTCACAATAACAGAGAGATGGAAACAACCCAAGTGACCATCAACAAATTAATGGAGAGAAAAACTATGCTATATCCACACAATAGAATACTATACAGCACTGGGAAACAAGTAACACATACAATATTATACAACATGGGTGACCCTGGAGGACATTATGCTGAGTGAAATATCTGTCACCAAAAGACAAATACTGAATAACACCACTGTTATAAAACAGGACTGACATGGGGATTGGGGGAAACTAAAAAAAGAGGAGACAAATAATGAATACTGCACTGAACAGATGAAGGAAATACTGAACAGATGAAGGAAAGAACTGTTTAAAAGGAATATGTAATTAATGGGCATTACACGTACTACAACAGCCCAGAATAAGAGGTACATTGCGAAGAGGACTGGGGGGAGAGGAGGGCAGGGGGTAACTGTGCAACAATAAATGAGTATTAAAAAAAAGTGAACTTTCCAATACTGGAAATATACCCCAAAGAAACCATAACCACCACCCAAGCAGATATATGCACACCCATGTTTACCATGGTTTTGTTCACAATAGCAAAGAGTTGGAAACAAGTACCCATCAACAAATGATAAATTTTGTAAATAAACTAGTAGGGGGGATAACACACGAATGAATAGAGAAGTTCTGGTATGTTCACACAATGGAATACTATGCTCATTGAAGAACAAGGAACTCATGAAATATTATTCAAAATGGGTGGTCCTGGAGGACATAATGCTGAGTGAAATATCTCAGTCACAAAAGGACAAATACTGCATAGTGCCACTGTTACAAAACAAGACTGATCTCGGGGTTGAGGAGAGACTGAGAAAGATGGGATAAATCAAGTATACTGCATTGAACACAGATGAAGAAGAGAACTGTTTAAAAGGGATATGTGATTAGGTATTATTGTCATGACAAGAGTCCAGAACGAAAGCTGCATAATGGTGTGGACTTGTAGGGAGGGATTCTATAACAATGAAAGAATTTTTCTTTTACTTTTCAAATTGAAGGCTGCATAGTGGAGTGGACTTAGGGGGAGGGATTGTATAACAAAGAATTTTACTTTTCAAAAAGAAGAGTAAACTGGGGCGGGGGGGAAGTTGGGCAAGGAGAAAAGTGTAACAATGAGTGAATGGAAATCCAAAGTCTCTGTAAACTTTCATTAAAATTAATTAAAAAACATCATGAAGAAAATAAAAAAGTGAACTGAGGCAGGAGAAAGGGAGAAAGAAGTAAAATGTGCAACAATGAATGAAATAAAATGTAACTATTCTATAAACTTTAATTAAAATAAAAATATTTATTAAAAAATAAGAATCAACATCTTATTGAAAAAATCAACATTTTTAACTCAGTATTTCTGATATTTTTAAAAAGGCAGCAACGAAACCCTGCAGTGTGCAGAAAAAAGGAAATAATAAAGATTGTTGTTGTGTTGTTGTTGCCAAATGCCATCGAGTTTCCTGTGATGCATAATCATATCTCCTGAGTCAATTTATTGTCTCCAACAGACCTAATCTCATTTCTCCTGTGTCAATCCATCTCATCCTGGTCCTCATCTCCTGCTCTGTCCCTCCACCCTTCCAAGCATGATGTCCCTCTCCAAGGACTGGTCACTCCTGGCCATGTGCCCAAAATATGTTAGATTGAGCCTCAGAATCATTGGCTACAGGGAATAAGCCTAGCTTCACCCTCTCCAAGACAGACCTGTTCTCCTGGCAGTCCATGTTCAACACCCATCTCCAGCACCACAACTCAAAGGCTTCAATCCTACTTCTACCATCGTTATTCATTGTCCAGCTCTCATATACATAGAAAGTAACTGTGAAGACCATGGCCTGAATCAGGCACATCTTAGTCTCCAGGCTGACACTGTTGCTCTTCAGTAATCTAGAGATGTCCCTGACTACAGACTTTTCCAGTGCAATTCATCTTTTGATTTCCTGACTGCTGGTGCCAAGATGTTGCTTGTGGAACCAAGCAAACTGAAAATATCAACAATCTCAATCTTTTCTCCATCCATCATAAAGGTGCTAATTGACCAAGTGGTGAGAATATTTGTTTTCTTGATGTTGAGCTTCAATCCATATTGAAGATTACAGTCCTTGACTTTCTGCAGCAAATACCTCTTATTCTCTTCAGTTTTAACAAGCAAGGTTGTGTCACCTGCATAAAGCAGGTTGTTGATAAGTTTTCCTCCAATACTGATGCCACATTCCTCCTCATAAAGTTCAGCCTCTTGAATTATCTGTTCTGCATATAGATTATAGAACGCACCCCTAACACACACCTTTCCTGATCATGAACCAGGCAGTGTTTCCCTCTTCTGTTCTGACAACTGCTTCCTAGTCCAAATACAGGTTTTGCATAAGACAATTAAGTCTTCTGGGATCCCCATTCTTCACAAGGTTAGCCACAATATGTTGTGATCAGAGCAGAAATAAACGAAACAGGAAAATGAAGAGAAAGAATTAACAAAGCTAAAAGTTGGTTTTTCAAAATGATCAATAAATTTCACACACTACTGGTAAATCTAACATAAGAGGATAAGATGTAAAAACATATATATGAAATTAAATGGGTCATGTCACAACAGAGCCAGTTGAAATAAAAAGGCTAATAACAGCATATTATTAAAAACTATGTCTACGACTCGACGGCACCTAACAACAACAACATACATGCAAGTTGTCATCTGAATACTGCATGGTTTAAAATCAGGAAGAGTGTGTATCACGGTTGTAACATTTCCCTATACCTATTCAATCTGTAAGCTTAGCAAATCATTTGAGAAATTGGGCTATATAAAGAAGAAGTTGACATCAGGATTGGAGGAAGGGTCATAAACAACCTACAGTATTTAGATGGCACAACCATTTATAGCAAGTAAAGAAAAAAATGCTGGCTGCAGAAAAGCCAGACCACAGTCTTGCATATGGGTTATAGCTCAACATCA